TGCGGGACCCGATGCGGGACCCGATGCGGGACCCGATGCGGGACCCGGTGGAATCTGATGGGACCGGGGCATCGGAACGGGAGACACGGGAGACAGGCATGTGCGATCCAACATGTTCCAAGAATGAGATCCCCCAAAATTGGGGTTGCACTTCGGGTGACGGGAGCGGTCCCACCGTTTGGTCCCACCGTTTGGGTCATACCGTTTTTCATGATCACCGACCACGTCCGTCTGTGCCGAGGCAAGCAGTCCTGGGCGGAGCTGTCCGAGGATCTTTTGACGGATAGCGAGCCAGGACGGGGGGGCTCCGATGTTTGGTGTGGGGTTCAGCCTAAAAGTGGAAGGGCTGAAAGGCTTGCAATCTTTTCATTGGGATCTCTATTGACCACTTAGCAAACCAAGCGCCAAACCCCGCGCGAAATTCACGACCTGGGTCTACCATGGTCTCCAAACGGAGACCACGGGATTCGCCTCAGGAGCTTGGGAGTCCGAGCGCTACACCGACTCCATGGAATCCCCGCAGGCCTCACCAATGCAATCTCCAGTGGTGGCCAAGAGTGAGCATGGACACCAGGGAAGCCTGGCGACCGAGGTCCGGGATGCGGTATCCGGCGTGTCGGATCGAAGGGATGCGTTTGAGGATGATCAAGTGCAACAACGGTCTGCGACTTTTGAAGGTTTGGTCATCAAGAAAGACTGGCTGTTCGTTCAGGAGGGTACCTTTTTTGGCGAAGGGAGGGGACCTGTCCAGCCGAGGAATCAACGGAGCAACGAATGGCGATTTTGTTTGCCCAACTCCCAGCTACAGCATCGCGTTCCCAGCGACTTCGCTTTTTGAAGAAGAACGTGGGCAGTGGGACACGACGAACGGGAAGGGCAGCGGGAAGGAGCGGTACAGTGGTACCCCGGGTTTCTCGGAAAACAACGGGAGATCTGGAGTTGTTGTTCGTTTTTTTGGTGTCGAGACTTAAGCAGAAGACTTGGTGTGGTTCTCTGGTTTGGCTCCACCTTGTCAGGGACTTGACACACCTGCGGCGGTGGTGTGCATCCCAAGCCCAAGGGAAATTTTATCAACGCCGCCATTTTTTTTGAAGAATTTTGGGATCTCCGTCCGGCGCAGTCTGGAGGGCTCCAGGTACTGTAACTTAAGAGGCTCAAGTCCCAAATTTTGGAGCTTCGCGCAAAATGGCTCGAGAAGACAGTGCACATCGGTGGACCTCGGTCTGGAGGTACTTTCGAGGTGGTGTGTCGGGATGCCGCTATGAAGAAGGATGAGCGGATATCAGTCCCTTTCTTACAAGGATTTCCAGTTTGAGAGAATACATTGACCCTTTATCAGGTTTGACACATAACATAACAAATATGTTTTTAAAAGCATCCGTGGGTGTTGAACCGAGAGGACCGTCTACACCCATGGGGGGTGCTGAAGAATGCATGAAAGATAGGGCTGAACCGGAAACAGTACAGGGTGATGCGGGGGGGCACTGATTCAGAATGGACACCACCTCTGGGCGTCCCCGTTCGACCACGTAAAACACGCACCAATGCAACGGACCGCTCCGTCATGCGACAGACATCGTCGGCGAGGTGATTGACATCGCCGGCCTTCCAAAAGCACTTTGCAACAACGTTTGCGTGGAGGTGGGGATGAATATGGCCGTGACCCGCCCAAGGTGTGGAAGAATCCTCCCCCAATATCAGCGCAAGTTGCACTCCACAAGCTCGGCCCATTCGTTGTACCGGAGGAAATTAAAAGGCTCATGTTGTTGGCGCTGGCTCCTTGAGGAACCCGTGTTGAAGCCAAGGCGCGTGGCGAAAGTCCCACAGGTGTAAGGTTCGAAGCAGCAAATGTTCGTGCGAATGCATAAGGAGCAAGCTGCCATTGCTGTAGATGTGTGCAGTCCGTTCCTTTTTGATGCGAAGGGATAGCTCGTAACCGCCGCCCAAGTGATCAAATGATGGGGAAGCCAAGGCTAGTTTTTTGGGAGACGAGCTCATTTTCTTCATACAAGTGATTTGAAGCAACGAGGGGCCGATGCTACATGTGTTCTATTTTTAAGATGTGGATGTTGATGTTCTGCTGCTTTCGCTGGATTTGTCCATTTTTGGATGAAGCAGCAATTTAGCATTTCTTTCCCGGCAGGCAATGCTTCAGCAGGCAGGCTTGACCCATGGAGTGACTGGCTTCATGACCGATGAAACCAGCACCATTCGAGCCTCTTGGCGACATCCGTCGTTTACACAGCGAAGGGTTAATCTTCGCTATTGGTATCACTCAGTATCGCTGAATCATGGCACACACACACTTATTACTTATGATTATGCGTACTGACTTGACAGCAGGCCTAGGTTACCATTTCCTAAGGGTGCAAGTACGGACTACTGGAGCCTGGAGGTCTTCAAAAGGAGAGAAGTCCAAAAGCGCAAGTCGAGGTCGAACCGACAAATGACGGCGTACGCTCTTGTCTGCCGAGTGCATTAGCCCTTTACCAAAGGTTAAAACTTGCAGGTACGCCGAGTTGATCAGACTCGGTATCCCGTGATTGTGGTAGCTTCGTTGAGTGCGGTCCCACAATCATGCCGCACTCCCCTGCGCGACAAAACGAAAACACAATCAGTACAATCCGAGCGGACCCCTGTGACTACAAGGGGCACACACACACACACGCCTCCCCTAAGGGAGGTGTAAAATTCAGGTTAAGGCAAATGTGCACGTGTGCGCGCGCGAGAGACAAAAGAATGAAGACGCGACAAGAGGACGGGACGGGACAAAGGCGTAGGTGGTTGCGATGAAAGGGGAACCAAGTGCACAGGGACAAACAATGAAACCCACCTCATTATAAGGACCTGGGCCACCGAAAACCTGGGTTTCAATTACATGTAGTGGTGCACGCACACGCTAAGGCCGGGACCAATGTGCGCGCAAACGAAAGAAAGGAAGAGATGAAAGACATGAAGACAGGAGGACATGAAAGAAAAGAGGAGAACAAAAGTGTGCGAAGGGGAAAAAAAAGATGAAAAGGGAACCAAATGGAGGGGACGAAGACCAATGAACCCAAACCTCATGAAAGAACCTAGGCAAGCCTCGTTGAACATGGACGTGCTGTGTGTACACCAAAGGTCCCGACAGGTTCCAACGAACCTCAAAAAGGCTTTGGTCGCTCTGACCACGTTGAGGCGTTAAGCCAGCTTGGACCGCTGCTGTCACGTAATGGCATGAGCCAGCTTGGAATGCAATAATTCAGCAAATCTTGGCAAATAACTTTGGCATAAGCCTCCTGCTGTCCGCTTCGGACACCTACGTTCCCGGGCCCGTTCAACGGGTCCACAGGGGGCACTCTGCGGGCTCACCCTGGGCTGGCACGAGGCCAGACACACTTATGATATCTCCATGTCAATATCCCCTATGAAATCACAGGGGTCCACCCCTACTATAAAACGTTTCATGGCCCCCCCTGACGGGGGGGTGGGCCCTTGATTTTATAGTTCAATGCTGTTCATATGTCTTGGAAATTGTGATCAGAAGATTGCAGACACCGGGTTGCCCACTGTTTTTGTTTGGGCAGCCATGCATAGGTGTAATGGATTTATGGTGCTTGATGGATTTTATGGTTTTACAGTTTAGGTGGGGTACATGCATTTTATGTGCAATAGGGGGTTGGTTTCACCATTTTATACCTATAAAATGCGTGTCCAGACCCCCCACTCTGAATTGACACGGGGATCTTATGATTATGCGTACTGACTTGACAGCGGTGCCACACGCCGGCCTGGGTTACCATTTCTTAAGGGTGCAAGTACGGACTACTGGAGCCTGGAGGTCTTCAAAAGGAGAGAAGTCCAAAAGCGCAAGTCGAGGTCGAACCGACAAATGACGGCGTACGCTCTTGTCTGCCGAGTGCATTAGCCCTTTACCAAAGGTTAAAACTTGCAGGTACGCCGAGTTGATCAGACTCGGTATCCCGTGATTGTGGTAGCTTCGTTGAGTGCGGTCCCACAATCACGCCGCACTCCCCTGCTCGACAAATCGAAAGCACAATCAGTACAATCCGAGCGGATCCCTGTGACTACAAGGGGCACACACACATCTCGGTTGTTTCCGGTTTACCAAGATGTATTTCGATTGGGCTCAGCCCTTGACGGCTTCATTTCCACGAAGTGGCCCATGTTTGCGCATGCCTCTACGTGGCCAACCAGCCGAGTTTCTCAGCTGAGTTTCACCGCCCGAGGTGATGTTGGCCAACTGGCCCGCCGCCATGCATTGCATGGATCATTTTAAAAAGAGCAGCTGGGCTGGCGGATCCCTTCAAATCAATTGGGGCCTCGCCATTCCCCAGGCGACGCGGGGAGGAGATTTTCGAAAGGGGATCAGACGCCGTAATAGAGACGGAGATCGGCAAGGGAAGGGCGATTCCCTTGGGAAATCCGTGCCGGAAGGGTCGTGTGTAAGGGTTGAGACTGGCAGGGAGTTTGATTGATGGCGTTCTTTCCTAGGTACGCAACATATAAGCATATATAACTAAAATATACAAAAAGTACATATATAGATTATATTGTATACACACTTCTGACGACATGTTGCACCACGGAACTTGCCAATCTAGCCCAACAGTTCCTTTTCCGTTGGGAGAGCCGTGATTGTCGTGATCCCAAGCTGATCGGTCCGCGGAGGCTGCACAGGAGATGGCCTACGGGCAGATGAACTCCCAGCAGAACTACTTGGGCACACCAATCAACCAATATGAGTGTGCTGCTTATTGCGGCTCGGTTGATCTTTGTCTCTGTCTCAGTTTTGTTTGTCTGTCTGTTTGTCTGTCTGTCTGTCTCTCTCTCTCTCTCTCTCTCTCTCTCCATCTCTCTTTCTCCCTTGTCCATGATTCTTATTGTGGACACATGTGCGTGACGTGGAAAGACATATGTAAAGATTATGTTGGCATGGATTCAAGTATGGGAACCCTCCTTGGAACTGGATGAGGCATGTGTCCGTCTCATGTCTTTGTGCATCCAGGCTCCCTATTGGACCTATTTCTAGACAAGTGGACATGAGTCTTTTTTCGACCTGCTTGGTCAGAGAACAATCCCGCTAAGGAGAAGACCGACCCTGTGATGGAAGAAATTCGACTTTGGCCGGGAACGGCCCTGTTTGCCGCGTCCTTGCTTGTCCTGAGGCTCCCAGCATGGCATGACACCCCGATTGTTCTCCAACCCTGGGCGCACGAGGTTTTGCCAGATTGGCACGTTTCGGAAATTGACACTTTGGCCTGTTGCAAAAAGGCCGTTACTAGAGCGGGGTTTAATTCCTTTTTTCGACGCCCGCCCATTCTGGTGTGTTGCTGTCTTTGCGTTCCAGACCACTCGATACGCCTGGGTTGGACCTGTTTGTATTGATTTAGCAGTGTCAAATGCCTGCATGGGGCGATAGATGTTGCCTATTGAGAGTGAGAGATGAGAGTTTGAGAGTTTGAGAGATTGAGGGATGAGAGTTGTAGAGATGACCCGAGCTGCACTTAACCTGTCGATGTGAAGCCCAAAAGATGTGCGCCATTCGAGCTGGGCAGGGTTTGCTCCGTCCTGGCGTCCTGGCAGTTCATCTTTCACGCGACCATCAACACGCGGGTTTTTCATCTCTGCTGGGTTGTCCAGCTCCAGGGAAAGCTCACCACAGACAGTATCTTGAATGTGGTTGCACCAAAAGCCTTCGAACCACTCCGATGTTTCTATTGCAATTCCACTCAGGCGCATACTATACTTGAGAGAGGTATATATATCAATATCCCTCTCTCTCTCTCTCCCCCTCCCTTTCCCTTTCCCTTTCGCTTTACCTTTCGCTTTCCCTCTCGCTTTCCCTTTCGCTTTCGCTTTCACTTTCTGTTTCCCTTTCCCTTTGCCTTTCCCTGTGCCTTTGCCTTTTCCTTTCCCTTTCGCTTTTCCTTTCCCTTTCGCTTTCTCTTTCTCTTTCTGTTTCTCTCTTCCTATCTTTCTCTCTTTCTCTCTTTGTCTCTCTCTCTCTCTCTCGCTCGCTCGCTCTCCCTCTCCCCCCTCCATGATACGCGCCGGAAGTCTTTGGACGTTCTATATTGAACTGCTCGCGGGGACAGAGGGATGTATCAGGCTTGAAAGGCTGGATCTCCTTTGTCTTGATTTCCTGCATTTGACGACGTAGGGCTCCCAGATCAGATACTATCATTGAGATCTGCCCGTGGAATGACCATGGCGAGGCTACGCCTTGTGGCGGAACGCCAAAACGCCCTTGCAAGTTGTTGCTTGGGCCGAGTTGGTTGGGAAGGTTGGGCCGAATTGGTTGGGAATCGATGATTTTGCTGGTGGAGCAAAGGTGTCCAGTTCAGCTCAAGACATGGGCAAGGAGAGAGATCTACTGCTACCGTTTTGTACTGATACCTCGAGACCTATTTTTCTTAAGCTATGCTTCCATGTTTGCCGAACTGAAGGTAAAGTGGAGGTGCTGTGGGGGGCTCCAGGACCACGGCACCGTAATTTCAATGGGCATGTGTATCAAAAAGAAATTAATTACTGAATCGAAAAAATATTATTTACGCAATCAACAACAAATTAATTAACTAATCAAAAAATATTTATTTTCCTTTCCCGTCTCTTGTATGCTTGCTCCTGGTCCACATGGTCGTCCTGGTCCCCTTGGTCCCCTGGTCCCCTTGGTCCCCTGGTCCCCTTGGTCCCCTGGTCCCCTTGGTCCTCTGGTCCCCTTGGTCCCCTGGTCCCCTTGGTCCCTGGTCACCTCGTCGAAGGGAAGGGAAGGGAAGGAAGAAAAGAAGGGATCCAGGTAGGAGGCCGGCGCCTCGTCTGTACACGCGAAAAGTGACTCATCTGTACACGCGAATGATATACCTCGTCTGTACACGGGGATGCGCTGCTTCAAACTCACTCTCGCTCTCACTCTCACTCACTCACTCACTCTCACTCACTCACTCTCACTCACTCACTCTCACTCACTCTCACTCACTTTCACTCACTCTCACTCACTCACTCACCCTTTTGTCCTTTTGTGGGCAGGGTGAAATTTCGAGAAGGAACTGGCTATGCCAAGTTCACTCACCCTTTTGTGGGCCATGCAGGGGTAAAATTTAGAGAAGGATGTTGCCATTTCAACTTGACTCACCCTTTTGTGGGCAGGGTAAAATTTAGAGAAGGAAGT